AGAATGGAACGATATCTTGGGGGCTTTTCAATTAATATGCAGTAAACAATACAGATGTGTTCCTCTGATCACTTGCATAATTGATTCGCTATATTTATTTTGGAATGGAGTTCTTTTTTTTTTTATTTCGTGTCAAGATCAAATAAAATATGATAATGAAAGAAATCCATTTTTGATGCAATCCAGTGAATTAGCCTCTGTACGCCATTTTGAAATAATTTCATTGTCGTCTGCTTTTTGTATTTCCAGCCCAACATGATGGAAATTATGACAAGTCTTGTTATTTGATTGTTTTGCATTTTGTTCCAGATCCTAATTACATTCTTTTCACTTCAATTTTAATATTATTTACTGTTATTTAGATTTTACGATGTAATATTATTTTGGCGATAACTTCCTGTATTTGAGTGTTACGCTTTCAGGCAGCATTCATTTTCTTTCGCTTTACGGAAGCAGATGACGGCATTTTCGAGACATGTCTGTATTATCATGATAAGAGAAGATTACATTATTTTGAAGGTAGAACATGTTCAAGTAATAAATATTTAAATAAGTTATATCGTATCTTACGTCATTGTCTTCGCTTTCTCGCTGTCTTTCTCGTTGTCTTTATCGTTGCCCTGTTTTTTTTTTCTTTCCTTCTTTACTCTTTGCAAAACACTGGAGTCAACAATTGTTGTTTAAATGACAACGTGAATTCGGTCTTCTTGAAAGTGTCGCAGTGACATTGTCTTATATCCTCACTTCTTTCTTTCTTTCTTTCTTTTTCTTTCTTTCTTTCTTTCTTTCTTTTTAGTCTATTCATTTTCATTTACTGTTTATTAAACGCGTAAATTTATATTTTATATGCAAATAATACCTTTTTTCGTTTACTTTCCACTATGCCCTTGGAAAAGGCATGAATCTATCTTCCCTCATCTATGGGTTAAATAGTCGAGCAAAATAGCTGGTAGCAGCCAGTCCATAAGTAGAAAAAACCTGGATCAATGAGCGTTTTTTTTTACGGGGTTGGGTACGTATTAAGGTACACATTCTTAGGATTTGACATTATTCCCAGAGAGTCTAAAAACAGAGTTAATAAAATATGACGTCAGGTTTTCGAAGATTTCAGGCACACTGTTATCAATTCTTATTACCTCAATCAGTTTTAAATTCTGTTATCCTTCTTCCAGACTACTTAGCAACTAAGGCTTAAGAAGTCTGCCCTGCTATTTAACCAATGGCTGTACTTCTCAAACAAATGCCACTCTCTACCTCAGAAATAAGTTAAATTAATAGACTCCCTTATTTTTAGGTGCGAACCAGTCTAAAAGAAGTAAAACTTTGAATTCAAAACAAGCTTGAAAAGGAATCGGCCCTGTCTGGCTATCTTACCGTAAACACACCATTACTGCGAAGGCTGCAATTCATTTGACGCCCTTACAAACCTAATGGGTTAGAGGAGTCGTGATGTGGCGAAAATAATAACGCTATTCTGTCACTAATTGCAGTAAAATAAAAGCCAATCTAAAGACCACATTGTGAACTACCTTGGATTCTCTCCGTGACAATCATCGCCAACATCCCGTGAATATCCACGACTTCAACCAATCTTCAAAAAATTTAAATGCAACGTCAGTCATTTTACGACCATATTACGTTCAAACACCGCTTATCCGATCACCGAAGTTAAGCAACGTCGAACTTGGCCAAATACATAGATGGGTGACCGCCTGGGAATATCACATACTGTAAGTTTGGATGTGCACGTGGGGTAATGGATAACGGTTTGGGATTGTAAATCGGAGAACGGAGTTTCAATTCCAGACGGCTTCGTTATATTCACTTACTCGCAAATACCATTGGGAAAGATACGAATCCAGCTCTTCTCCTCCCAGTTGTGGGTTAAACAGCAGGATTTGTATCAGTAAATTATTATTATCTCCTAAAAATCCTTTCAATTCAAAAATATTTTCTGGCTTTGAAATAACCTGCAAATGGTTTATAGACCGTAAAAAAACAAAGCAACCAATCAGCAACGTCATTCGTTTTCTTCGGTATCCTTTAATTTATTTTATTGTCCTTTCTGTTCAGTAATGTTTTCTAGGTTTCTACCACTGTCAATAACCACTGTGCGTCGTAGTGGCTTTATCACCTTGACAGAGTCGAAGTTATTTTTTTTTTTAAATGTAAATAATAAAGTTATTTTCTCCGCATGATATTATGTGACACATGAGCTTTTCGTCAATTAAAAAAAAACATGTTTAATGTGTTTTAAAAAGAAACCTCAATGATTGATTGACCTGAACTATTGGTTTTGAAATCTAATGAAAACAAAGAAGCAACTCATTAGAATATTGAAACAATCAAACATTTTTTTTTTTTTTTTTAACCTGGTTTCTTTTACGAGATTTACTCAGTGGTCGCGAGAAGGAGTCTTGTCTATTCGAATCAATTTTTTTTTATCCCCTGGAATAAATGATTAACGGTCAGATTGTGCGTTTTCTATGGCTGTTATCAATAAGCGGATGCTATCTCTCTCCTAATAGGACACGAAATCCAAGCCATTCATTTCAGTTCATTGGCACCGCGATGTTTAATAATAATAATAATAAAAATGCTACAGTTTAATACGCTGCATTTGACATCACCAACCCTTTATAATGTCTAACGCGGAAGAAAGTAGTGCAATAATTTAGAAAACGCTGTCAAATCCTTACGCAAGCAACCTCCAAAGAAATCACGTACAATCACGTATAAAGAAGTCTCGAGACGAGTTAAATCTCGTAGGTTATATTTCTTTCTTTTTGGATTGAACACGTTTTGCTGAATTTTAAGTGTACTAGAAAGAAACCTTTGTCGATCGTTTACAGAGAAGAGGCCAATGGAAATTATTTCAATATCAGCGGGAAAACCTATAAAAATATATTTACAGCTCAGAGTAAATCAGCGGGACCATTAATTCATATATATAGTTTAGCCAAAAGTGTCCGTTCTTTTTGGGTGTTCGGTTGCATCAGGGACGTTTAGTTTTAACTATCGCCACTTAAATAGATTGCTTTTGATAGCTGTTGTATAAACGTGCATTTTTATCGGGTTAGTTCTGTTTGTGCGTCCGATGGCGTCAGGGAGTGTTTAATTTTAAATAACATCACTTTAAAAAGAGCTATTTAGGCTGTAATGTGCTAACCGTCAGACCTGCTGGTAGTTTTATTGGTTCTGATAAAATATTCATTCCGTTGGAGTTTTTGGTAACATCAGGAGCGTTTAGTTTTAACTATCATCTCTTAAAAAGATCGCTTTTGACTCGCTTTATGTGGCAACTATCACAATACCCTAAAAGGTTTTGAGAGGATTGTGATAACTATAAATTATAATTATAGTTGTTTACGATTTCATCAAATATGCGTTCAGTTGCTTATAAATGTTATATATATATATATATATATATATATATATATATGTGTGTGTGTGTGTGTGTGTGTGTGTAAGTGTAAAGCACACATCACATCTTGCGGCCTCAGACGAGATTGAACATCACTAACACCTTGATTGGTGTAGTTCATAATCTTGTCAAATAGCTGAATTCTTGATGCTTCGCTAGGGCTATCAAGGGTGTTTTTATCGTGACACCATCACTAAATGGAATGCCAACCAAGGCTCAGAGAGACTCCATTCACCCTCCTCTAAGAGCAGGTTTAAATTCAGAGTTTTCCTACTCTTAGACCAGTTGCCATCCAAGGCTATAGAACCCAGTCTGTCCTGCTATTTACCCATAGCTGGAGGGAGAAGAAGAGGATTCGCACCTTTCCCAAGGGTGTTAGCACGTAAGTCAATGTAATGGATTCGACTGGAATTCGAACTCGGCTCTCCGATTCCTCAATCCAAGCCGCTATCCATTACTCCACCGTGCTTCCAAAAAGTGTAACGCAGGCCGATAGACGTAATACAGACTGTATCGTCTACTTCAAACATAAAGTATCCACTATAGTAACGTTTGAAGAAATAAAAATGTCGGATCAAAAATAAAATCCATTATATATATATATATATATATATATATATATATATATATATATATATATATATATATATATATATATATATATATATATATATATATATATATATATATATTAAAATTAGGATATAGAAATCTCGACAAGGCTTTTAAATTTTGACAATTGGAAACGTTTCATGAAAATAGATTTGATTAAAAATAGATTTGATTAAAAATAGATTTGATTAAAAACAGTTTTGATAATGCATTTCGCTATGCAAGGCTACCTCAGGTCCGAAAACGAAAGAATGAAATATGTGTATTTGTGTGAACGCTTAAATAATGAATCCTAGTACTTAAAGAATGGATCCTAGTACGTAAATAATGAATCCTAGTACTTAAATAATGAATCCTAGTACTCCTGGATTTCCCGATGATTCGAACTAAATAAGATACCGCCAATCATTTCGAAGATAGAAAGCTTAATCTGACAATTGGGCAATTTTGCTGTTACACCAGGTATACACACACACACACACACACACACACACACACACACACACATATATATATATATATATATATATATATATATATATATATATATATATATATATATGACAAGTGGAACGTTTTCATGGAAATAGATCTGATTGAAAATGAATTTGATAATGCATTTCTTCATTCAACGCTTCACTAGATCCAGAAACGAAATAATGAAATGTGTGTATGTGTATTTGTGTGTATGTTTAAATAATGAATCTTCGTTCTTTTTCCCTAAGCTCTCATTTCTCTTGATTCAAGAAGAAAGAAAATGTGTGACTTTAAATAAAGTCGTTAGTATTTATTCCGGTATCTTTTCTTTACTCTTAGTTCGAGTTGAAAGTTGTTAATGTATTTTTCAAGGTTTTTTGTATCGCATTAAAGACAACTCCTCTTCTCATTATCAGAATGGTTTAAAAGCAAGAAATTCATTTAGCCTTTTCTGAGAATATATGCATATATTTCTATGCACATCTACAAACACGCGCGTGCGTGTAAGCGTTGCACAGATAGATAGATAGATAGATAGATAGATAGATAGATAGATAGATAGATAGATAGATATTGTTATGGTGACCTGTCTACATTAGAATGAACTCTTCCTACTTTATAAATACTAACCTGCTAGTCTTCCTAGGAGGCAGTCGACATGCATTGTCTGACTGTGTGCGACTTCTGTCGAACTCTCTGCGTTAGCAGAGAGGAACCCGGACGAAGCTTTGCCGAAGGGCAAGGTTTCGTTCGGGGAGGTAGACAAGGCCTAAACCCGTCTAGGCGAGTTCAAAGGCTATATTTTTGGCCGAGCCTATGGGCTCGGAGATACCCACATTAAACCGGCCTTGTGCCACATTCAATCCTCGTGGGTGGATCGATAAATACTAAGACAGATTTAACGTAAAATGACCAACATTGCATTTTAAAAGCATAATGACCAGCAATAATAATAATAATAATAATAATAATAATAATAATGTGTCTTATCTACCTGGGTAGATAGATAGATAGATAGATAGATAGATAGATAGATAATTTGATTCGATTTGTTTGTTTAAAAGCTCATCAACTCCTTATGGGTCTTTTAATGCCGGAATTTAATTTTCTTGGGAGCTTTGAAAAAAATAAAAATATGTTATTCTGCTTTCACAATTGAATACATGGTAGATAATGCTCAGCTTTTATTTTTGGAACATAATTACTAGAGGCGAAGCTATGTGTGTTTTATGTTGTAATTTTATTGAAGTTATATTTTAGAATACAATTTGATTTCTTTAAGAAATTATAGGATATTATATGGATCAATGTCATGAAAGAGTTCTTTCATATAGGTTTGTTGGTTGATTTTTGATTTTGTTTAGCGGCATATGAATCCGCGTAGGTTATTTAATGCCGAAATCGAAATATTTGAAACACAATTTTATGGCTTCAACGAAATATATTTTGAACGCAATTGTATGCGATCTACTACAGATAAAATATATTATTCGTCATAAATAAGTATTGTTGGTAATTTTACTATAAATAGGTATTGTTGGTAAATTTTTTACATAAAAATGTATTGCTGGTATTTTTACTATAAATGTATTTTTATACTTTCATAGTGTTTTGAGTTAACTATTTTCCCATAGCTGGGGCCCTAACAGGTGCTACCACCCCGGATCAGGGTGTACCTGGGAACAACAGCAGTTAAGAGGTGGTTCTATGCTTCCCAAAAATTCCAATCTCCCGATCATAACTTTGCTGCTGGATATAGTTTATCGATTTACCGAGGAATGTGATAGATAGATAGATAGATAGATAGATAGATAGATAATGTTATGGTGACCTGTCTACATTAGAATGAACTCTTCCTACTTTATAAATACTAACCTGCTAGTCTTCCTAGGAGGCAGTCGACATGCATTGTCTGACTGTGTGCGACTTCTGCCTAACTCTCTGCTTTGGCAGAGAGGAACCCGGACGAAGCTTTGCCGAAGGGCAAGGTTTCGTCCGGGGAGGTAGACAGGCCCTGAACCCGTCTAGGCGGGTTCAAAGTATATATTTTGGCCGAGCCTACGGGCTCGGAGATACCCACATTAAACCGGCCTTGTGCCACATTCAATCCTCGTGGGTGGATCGAAAAATACTAAGACAGATTTAACGTAAAATGACCAACATTGCATTTTTAAAGCATAATGACTAGCAATAATAATAATAATAATAATGTGCCTAGTATAGTCTTATCTACCTGGGTGTCGTGATGAGTATATTGGACTTCCTACATATAGAGGAGACATGGTAGAGTAATGGATAGCGATTCAGATTCAGATTACTATATAGTCGTTGAGCAGTCTCGGACTGTGTGCTACTTCTGTCGAACTTTCTATTTTGGCAGAGGAACCCGGACGAAGCTTTGCCGAAGGGCAAAGCTTCGTCCGGTGAGGTAGACAGATCCCGAACCCGCTTATGCAGGTTCTAAGAGAATATTTTTGGCCAAGCCTACGGGCTCGGAGAAACCCACGGTAAACTCGGCCTTGTGCCACATACATTCCTCGTGGGGGGGTCTGTTAAATATCGGCAGTCGGGACGCAGTGTAACCTGACAGTTCGGACGGACACTTCTATCTGCTGACTAATAACACTCTTATTTTGTATATATGTTCTCTTATTTCAATACACTTGTTCAACCTACCTTCTTTCCGTGTTTTTTTTTTTCTGGCCCCTAACAGGCCACAACAGACAGACAGACATAGATAGATAGATAGATAGATAGATAGATAGATAGATGGGAGGACTACAATTTCTAAACCTCTCCAGTCAACACAGATAAGTGGTGAAAACGGTGTCTAGGTTATAGAAGTAGTCTGTGACTCAGTGGAACAATTCTAACTTCTTTGATGAATTATTTATCCATTTCCCAACTTCACGGCGTGTTTATATCTGGAGACGGCACAAAGAAGTCTTCGACCCAACTGTCTGCACCACTAAGCTAGAACATGGTGAGACGACTCTACGCTGATTTGAGCAGCCATACCTGAGAAATGTCTTCACTCTTTAGCGATTTAGTAAGCATAGCTTAGATATGACCCAAGTCCGAAATTATGGCCCACCCTGTCGAGATCGAATTCACAATAAAGTCGTAATTGACGTAACTAGACAATCTTGCTAACCATTCCACCAGGGTCCCGGTGTCCCCCTCTGGTCTTTTTAGTTGTTCTGCATAGAATGATTAGTATGATGAGTATTTTGGGTGATCATATCCATCCTATGTTACCAGCATTGCTTCTTGATGTTAGCACAGACTTCTAAGCCGATAATGCGCCGATTCATACGGCTAATTTTATTCAAAATTGGCACGAGGAGCAGAAAAGTGAAGTAGACCAGTGAGATTGGTCCACACAATTACGAAATCTCGAAAATTTATAGCGCATTTTGGAGCAATAAATGAGTTGCCGCTTCTGTCCATTACTATCGCTGAAGGAATTAAAGCAGGTTTTACTTGAAGACGAGCTCAAAATCCCCTAACCGTTCAAAATTGTCATAAGTCAATTCTGTGACGTGGTAAAGCTGTGACTGATGCCAAAAATAAAGGAGTCGACCGGAGTCAGTGCAAACAACCGTTTCCTTAGCTACATAGTAGGTGCTTTGCCATGGCTAAATACAGTTTTGAATCCAGGGTTTTGCATTTCCTAGATAGGTTGCTATCCAAGGCTATAGAACCCAGTCAGTCCGACTATTTACCTATAACTGAGAGGTGGGGAAGCGTTGGATCCAAACCTTTCTCAAGGGTATTAGCTCGTAAGTGAATAGTAGCGATTATTGTGTCAATGCGAACGATCCTTTACTTAGCTGCATAGTAGGTGCTTTGCCATGGCTACATACAGTTTTCATTCTCCTAGACAGGTTGCCATCAAAGGCTAAAGAACCAAGTCTGTCCTACTATTTACCCATAGCTTAGAGGGGAAGAAGCGTTGGATTCATACCTTTCCCAAGGGCATTAACGAGTAAGTAAATAGTAGCGATCATTGAGTCAATGCGAACGATCCTTTCCTTAGCTGCATATTATGTGCTTTGACATGGCTATATACAGTTTTGAATCCAGAGTTTTCCTTCTCCTAGACAGGTTTCCATTCAAGGCTATAGAACCAAGTCTGTCCGACCATTTACCCATATCTGAGGGGAGAATAGTTTCCCAAGAGTATTAGTGACACAGAAATTTCCCAGGCATCATTTACCTGCACTAAGCAGATTACAGGTCAAAAATGGAAGACTACATTATGGTGCCGAAGCGTGTGCCATTACCGATGCCACCTATGCATACTTGAGCGTTGCCTCTTCTCTGTTATCATTTTGCGATGGAACGATTTCCTTAAAAAGGAGTTGATCGTAGTCGGGATCATTGTGTCAATGCGAACGAACCTTTCCTTCACTGCATAGTATGTGCTTCGTCAGGGCTACATACAATTTTGAATTCGGAGTTTTCCTTTTCCTAGACCGGTTTCCACTCGAGGAACCCAGCTCGTCCTTACCATTGTGGGGAGAAGATTTGGATTCATGCCTTTCCAAATTTGCACGTAAGTGAATGTAATAAACTCGACTGGAATTCGATCTCGGCTCTCTGATTCCTCAATCCGAGCCACAATGCATTACTCTACCGTCTGTATTAAGTAATGAAATTTCTTTCAACAGGTTGTTTCCATTATTTTTTGCCCAATACTTGTAAGTGATATTTCGCATGTTAAACTCGAAAGCTGTTGCTACCGAGTTCTGTTCTCATCTCATGCCTTCCTCGTCAGTCCTAGACAATTGTCAACTTCATTTTGGAGTGTGTTTAATTTACCGTAGGTGTTCAATTGCTTGATCCTTTTGCTTGATTTATCTAAGCCATAAAAATCTCATTGTTCTCGTTTTACATGCCATGCCATGTTCTCATTGTTCTCGTTCCGCGTGCCATGCCATGTTCTCATTGTTCTCGTTCCGCGTGCCATGTCATGTTCTAATTGTTCTCGTTCCCGTGCCATGACATGTTCTCATTGTTCTCGTTCCACGCGCCATGCCATGTTCTCATTGTTCTCGTTCCGCGTGCCATGCCATGTTCTCATTGTTCTAATTCCACGTGCCATGCCTTTTTCTGGATACCTCAGTTTTCAGTTATTTCCCTTCAGTAACTCAACTCTCTAAGTTATTTGTTCACCTCTGCTGCGGCCAGGTATTGAACTCACAACTCTCTGGGTCAAGTCCCTAGATTACTTCAATCAACGCTTCCATCCACTGGGCCTTGTGACGTAGAGCCGTTGGTTGAACTAACTGAAGTTGAGATAGCCAGAAAAGGTATGGCACGTGGAACTAGATCAATATACCCCAGTCGCATAAGTAAAGGTTTCGGTTCGAAATTTCAACGTATATCGCCTGAAGAAAAAGTGAGCGTACAACGGTACAACATCGTGAATATGGCAATAAAGATGTAAACAACGTAAATTTATTGATACAAAACTTTGTACACAGATGCAGTAATGGTTGGGTCATAAGTCTATTCAATGTAACCGCCTTCGGCCGCAGTGAGGGTTTCAATGCAGGACCGAAATCGATGACATGCATGCGTCACATGGTCTGTATTAATATTGGTCATTACTCAGGTAATGGCGGCTTTTAATGAATCAGTCGTATTGTGGGAACGTTGAGTAGTCTCCCGTTCAGAAAACGCCCCACGAGCAATAGTCAAGAGGATTTAGGTCTGACGAGTTAAGTAGCCACATGTTTGGTGTGATGAGGTCGTGCTACCATCCAATCTTGGGTCTCTACAGCTTTGTGAGCAGAGACATGTCTATCGCATACAAGGTGCATCCAGGGCTTCACAACAACTTCCAACACCTTCAGTGCAACCAGTAGCATTCAACTGAATTCCTTGATTAAAGACCATCCTGTGTATGACGATAAACTACATCCGTGTTCTGGGTATGACGATAAAGTACATCTGCGTCCAGGGTAAGACCATAAACTACATCCGCGTCCTGGGTAAGACGATAAACTACATCCGCGTCCAGGGTAAGACGATAAACTAAGTCCAACAGCAAGCCTCTGATCAGGAGGCTTTGAGAAGCGTGGTACCACCTCTTAATTGCTGGTCTTCCCAGATCCACCCTGACCCGGGTTGGTAGAACCTGTTAGAGTCCCAACTATGGGTAAATAGTTAACCTCCAAATTGTGCTCAAAACACTATGAAAATGTAAAAATAGGTTTTAATACCAGAATACTTTGTAAAAATTATTACCAGCAACAGATTTTTGCAGAAAAATTATTACCATCAATACATTATTAACAGCAATACAATTTTGAAATAAAAATATTACCAGCAGTACATTTTTGGAAAATAAAATTACAAGCAATAAAATTTTTGTTGGCATTAAATAACCCATTGAGGTTGATATGCCGTAAACTAAACCAAACCAAACTGTTTACCAATGCAATCAAGCATATTCTCAACCAACGTTTGCCTGTATGTATGTATAACTGGCCACTCGCATTCGAGAATACCCGTCTACTAGGGCTGCTAGCCAATCCCTGCTACAGACGCTTGATCAGGCGCATTTGTGTTTATTCAACCCCAGAGAGCCCACCTGTGGTTTACACTACAACTATGCTGAGCAGACCTTAGTTACAGTTTCTGGGAAAGAGCGTGTTATCTACCGTGATTAACAACAGGATCAAGGTCAGGACGCTCAAGCCCTCGATCACGATGACTTGTGACTTTGTGCTAAGGGTTCTGTTTACCCAATTTCACTCATAAGGCTTAGGTCAACTCGTGGTATGGATTTTCAGGCACTTTCCAAAGATGCGCACATTGGGATCGACCCCTCCAGACCGATAACATCAGAAAGTCTCCTTCCTGCCAAATCGACCATGATGAGATTCGAACGCTGGTCTCATGGTCAGAATGCGAACATTCTAACCATTCGGCCACGTGCACATGTTTCTTTGCCTGTATACTCGTGTATCAACCCGACAATTGTTTGTTTATAGACTTAACCATAAACCTGACCAATGTTTGCCTACAAACCTAAGTGTAAACCCAACCATTGTTTACCTATATATCTCATGCATAAACCCGATTAATATTAGCCTATATATCTCATGCATAAACCCGATTAATATTAACCTATAGCCTCATGCATAAACCCGATTAATATTAGCCTATAGCCTCATGCATAAACCCGGTTAATATTAGCCTATAGCCTCATGCATAAACCCGTTTAATATTAGCTTATAGCCTCATGCATAAACCCGGTTAATATTACCCTATAGCCTCATGCATAAACTCAACCAATATTTGCCTATAAACTCAAACATCAAAACGACCACTGTTTGCCCATAGACTCAAGCAGAAACCCGACCAACATTTGCCTGTAAACTCACGCATAAATTCGACAAGAATTCACTTAGAGACTCAAGTATGACGACTGATATTTGCCTATCAACTCAAGTATAACGGCAAATGTTTATCCATAGACTCAAATATAATCGCTACTAATAAAATCAATTATAATCAAAAATATATACTGGCATGAAAAAACTGCAAAAAATATTAATATGTCACATAATCCACTAACCAATGAACGACCAGCATTCGGAGATGTGAATTTGTGTTTATTCTAAAAGTATTAAGGCTTAAAAGAAACTGAAGAGTTTCGGATCAAGTGATCAGGAACTCAATCTCTTAAGGACGAAATGTTTTGCCAAGACAGTCGTGGTTTGGGAGACGAACAGATTTAGCCGGATTTCGAACTGAGTTCCTCGATTTTCCGTTTTTTTTTTCTCTCTCCCTTGTAACCATTTCTCCACCCGGCTGCAACGTACAAAGGACAATAGAAACTGTAAATATACATAATTACAAAGAAAATAGCACGTATTTATTTATTTATTTATTGTTTTATTATTTTTTGGAAGAACACACCAAGAGAGCCATGTATACTCCTTTACAATCGCAGACCTCTTTCACGCGCACGTGCCCAGAGAGAAAAATAAAAACAATAAATATGTAAAAAATAAAATAAAATAAAATAAAATAATAAAAATAAAGGCTAACAATAGCAGAGAAACCCAGAATCAAAACAAGCAAAGGAATCAAGAAAAAAAAAATGCAAAGTCAAGAACTAATGGCAAAAAGCGAAGAGACGACAAAAGTAAATCGTGTTCTTTTTTCTGCGTCGCCATTATCGATCGCAAAGCGTTGAAGGCTTGGAGCGAAATTTTTGCCTTTAACATGAAGCAGACACGGGCAGACAAATTGCAAAATATTTGATACTAGAAATATTTCTCGCTCCCCATCCAACTCCTCCCCATTCTCTATTTCTATCTCTATCCCTCTTTCTCTTCGTCTCTACCCCATTCCCACCACACCCGCAACCCCACACGTTCTTACCCAAGCTGCAACACGCACACACTAGTGGTAGAGAAAGAGGGAAAGACACACTTTCCTATTTCAATACCTTGATCACTTTTCGACTTTTTTTTAATGGACGTTCGTTATTTTTCGCATATTAACACGCCTGTTCTCTGTTGTCTCTCTCTTGTCTCTCACCCTCTCTTGTTTCCCCTCTCTCTTTTGTCTCCCTCTCTCTCTCTCTCTCTCTCTCTCTCTCTCTCTGATGGTGTTCTCACTCTCACTCGTTGTCAGTATTTCTTTTATTTTTACTCATTCCTCTCTCTATTAAATATTAAGAAATAAGAGTTGACAGCGAATGACAACGATGGAAACGTGTTTGGAGAGAAGGAGAGTATAAAAGGTTAGAGGAAATTAAAAAGAAAAAAAAAACAGTGAATGACAAAGAGAGACATTGAGAAGAAAACGTAAGAACCAAATAAACAAGTAAAGAAAGAAAGAAAGAAAGAAAGAAAGAAAGAAAGAAAGAAAGAAAGAAGGAAATGGCGTGAGGAGAAGAGAATGAAAAATGATCTGAGGGTTATTAAAGAAAGAAAGAAAGAAAGAAAGAAAGAAAGAAAGAAAGAAAGAAAGAAATGGCGTGAAAAGAAGAGAAAGAAAAATGATCTGATGGTTATTAAAGAAAGAAAGAAAGAAAGAAAGAAAGAAAAGAAAGAAATGGCGTGAAAAGAAGAGAAAGAAAAATGATCTGATGGTTATTAAAGAAAGAAAGAAAGAAAGAAAGAAAGAAAGAAAGAAAGAAAGAAAGAAAGAAAGAAAGAAAGAAATGGAGTGGAGGGAAGGGAATGATAAAAGAGAAAAATGATCTGAGGGTTACTGAAGAAACAAACAAAGAAAAAAGAAAGAAAGAAAGAAAGAAAGAAAGAAAGAAAGAAAGAAAGAAAGAAATGGTGTGACGGTAAGGGAAAGGTAGAAGAGAAAAATGATCTGAGAGTTATTGAAGAAAGAAAGGATGAAAGAAAGTATCAAAAGATACTATTTTTTTAGTTTTGAAAATATTGATTTCAAAAACAAACACTACCTATTACGAAACAGGCAATTAACCACAAATAATAATAGTAATTATTATTATTATTATTATTATTGTGATGATGATAATGACAAGCATTTCATCAGGTTATAAAAAGACACTCAGTGAAGAAGAAGAAGAAGAAGAAGAAGAAGAAGAAGAAGAAGAAGAAGAAGAAGAAGAAGAAGAAAATAATATAATCGAATCTCCGAATCTATTCGCTTGTTAGGAATGTCATCTAGTTCTGCCGGGTGACCGACTGATACAAATCACGCCTTCTTTTGGCGACCTTCCGTCGCGATGCCAATGTCCATGGAGCCGATAAAGTCTTTCAATTATCAAATCGGCTGGCAGAAAATGAAAATAAAACGGAATAGGAAAAAAAAAAAGATTTTTTTTTTTTAAAATAATAATAATAATAATAATAATAATAATAATAATAATAATAATAATAATAATCAAGTTTAGGACCGGAAAGAGAGATGGTGGAGGGGTTGAGGAGAACGTTGGACCTGAAAAAGTGAGAAAGAGAAAAAGAGAGATAGATAGATAGATAGATAGAGAGAGAGAGAGAGAGAGAGAGAGAGTCCAGCAGGAGAAACAATGGAAGGACCGGTGAGGTAGCGGATGTGAAAAGCAATGTGTGAAAAGTGATAACGAAAGAAAGAGTCAAAGAGATGAGAAGAGTTATAGCATGAGAGAGAGAGAGAGAGAGAGAGAGAGAGAGAGAGAGAGAGAGAGAGAATTAGGAAAATAGAAAGTGAATATGAGATAGGGAGAGAGAGAGAGATTAAGAAAGAGTTAAATGTTTCAGAATGACGTGAAGGAATTAATGACGAAAAGAAATAGGGACATAGAGAAAAGTAAATACATAGAGAAAAATGAAGAAAGTGGGAGAGATAATAAAGTAAAGAGAGGAGACAGTGACAAAGAAAGAAAGAAAGAAGAAAGAGAGAGAGAGAAAAAGAGTATAAGAAAAAGAATAATAGAGATAAACAGAAAGAAAGAGTAAAGGAGACGGGAAAAGGGTGAACGAGAAAAGTAAAGAGATAAAAGAGAGAGAGAGAGAGAAATAGATAAATTAAGAGAGTAAACAGGAAGAGAGAGAGAAAAGGGAATAGAAAAGAGAGAGAGAGAGAGAGGAAGAGACTGGATTAGAGTGAAAAAGAAGTAGAAAGAGTTAGAGAAATAGAACTAAGAGTGAGACAGACAAAGTGTGTAGGAGTGAGCGAGAAAGAAAGAAAGAAAGAAAGAAAGAAAGAAAGAAAGAAAGAAAGAAAGAAAGAAAGAAAGAAATTATGGGAGCAAATCAGGAGTGGAAAGAAAAAGGTCACGAAAAAAGAAAGAAAGAAAGAAAGAAAGAAAGAAAGAAAGAAAGAAAGAAAGAAAGAGAAAGTTTAAAAAAGAAAGAGTAAAAAAGTTGATACGGGAAAGAAATAGGCAAAGGAATGTGTCTGCGGAAGCAAGAGAAAGAAAGAGAAAGCTAGTAAGCAATGAGAAAAAAATGAAGGGGTCGAAAGAAAGGCATTGGAAAGCGGAAAGAGAGAGAGAGAGAGAGAAAGAGAAAGAGAGAGAGAGAAGAATTGTTTTATAGGCACAGAAATAGAAAGTATATATTAAGTTAGAATGAAAAGGAAAGAAAAAAGCGAGAGAAATAGTAAGAGAGAGTGAAAGATAGAGAGTGTGTGTATGTGTGTGTTTGAGAGAGAGAGAAAGAGAGGATGGGAGAGAATGATACATAAAAAGGGAGAGGGAGAGAGAGATTATAGAGAGAAAAATACAAACAGAAAGTTAGTAGAAGAGACAGATACAGATATAGAGAAGTTGAAAGAGTGTGGGAGAGAAATTTACAGAAATTAGTGAGACATTGGTAGAAAAAGAGTGGGTGAGAAGAGAAATACAGTGTAACCCGGATATAAGAGAATTGTCGGGACCGGAGAATAAGTCTCTTATATCCGGGTTTCTCTTATATCCGGGTCTCTTATATCCGGGTTTCTCTTATATCCGGGGTTGGTCTATTTTATATACATTAACACAGGCTCTAATTTGGGACCAGAGAAAATCTCTCTTATATCCGGGTTTCTCTTATACCCGGGTCTCTTATATCCGGGTTACACTGTATATAAAGTGAAACAGAGAGAGAGAGAGAGAGAGGAGGTGTCTAGAGAAGGAATTAAAGAGAGTCGAAAAATAAGAGAAAGAGAAAGAGAGTCTGGGAGAAGAAAAATCGACAGTGAGTGTGAAATACATTCTAAGCCAAAAGAAATATAATAATAATAATAATAATAATAATAATAATAATAATAATAATAAAGAAGAAGAAGATGATGGTGAATAGGATGGAGAAGTAGAAAATGAAGAAGATGAGGATAAAGAAGAAGGAAAAGGCAGAGGTGAATAATAATAATAATAATAATAATAATAATAATAATAATGGGAAGAAGAAGATGATGGTGAATAGGATGGAGAAGTAGAAAATGAAGAAGATGAGGATAAAGAAGAAGGAAAAGGAAGAGGTGAATAATAATAATAATAATAATAATAATGGGAAGAAGAAGAAGAAGAAGAAGAAGAAGAAGAAGAAGAAAAAGAAGAGAGAAACAAAGATAAATTCTGGAAGAAAAAAATCGACAGTGAGCGTGAAATAAAAAGTGAAAAAGATTCTAAGCCAATAATAATAATAATAATAATACGAAGAAGAAGAGGAAGGAGAAGAAAAAGTTAACTCATTTTTTCTTTCCATTTTAGACCAACCTCCCCCCACCAAAAAAAAAAAACAAAAAAACACCTTGATGAGATTTAAATCAATAACTTAATCAAAATTGCCAGCTAATGTCTGCTTTTTTCCTGAAAACAATTCTATTTGTGAAACAGTTTATAGGGAAGTTAACACGAATGGTGTTCTGTAGTGACTTCTGATGTCCAACTATGCGCAGATTAAATCGTAATCCATTAAATTAGTTATGTGACCACAAAGTCATGATGTGTTCTCGTATTTATTGCGATAAATGAGATCACTCAATCTATGGAATTCTATACGAGCAATAAAAGGATTTATTTTTATTGATAAAAGTTTATTTTTGGCACGAACAATATCGAACGGCACATTGATATCAGACATATGATTACAATTATTGCTTTCATATTTTAAGCTTGTCGCACGTATACATGAGCACACACAAACATACACACCCAAGGACATTCAAACACCTACATATAAGGTGCTGATCGGGGTGCTGGAAAAGATTAATTCATTCATTCATATCTCAAGCTGGCTTACGTTTCCCGAGTCTCGCCGGACGTTCCCGAAATTACTCCCTAAGTAAAGTAAAAAAAAGATACAATTTTTCTAAATCTTTTTCTTTCTGTTTCTACGTCTAAATTTCTTTGGGGTTTGGGGTAACATTGCGAGGATGTGTGATTGCTCGAGACAGAGTCGATCCGAAAATAATACCTCCTATATTATTACGTTAGGCCATGAGGTTACAAGGCGATATTGGTGATATGACAGTAAAGCTTGAACTTTTTTTTTTGCTCTGTTACCTATCACAGTCTGGTAAAATAATGTCTGACATGAAAGTGCGCACGAAAAAGTGGCGCGGTATTGATGAAAAAAATGGTACCTATTGACATTCATCGATGTTTGCTGTCTGACCCTTCTAACTACTGTACTATCAGTCTCCTACCCCACTTCGGCAAAGTCTTCAAAGCCCTAATCAATACCGAATTGGTTAACCACCTTACATCCCATGATCTGCTCTCAGACAAACAATATGGCTTCCGCTTTGCCCGTTCTACCGCTGATGTGCTTACGGCCATCACTGAAACTGTCTACCAAGCTTTTCAAAATAACGGGGAAGCTCGTGCCGTACCCCTAGACATCTCCAAAGCGTTTGATAGGGTTTGGCATGTCGGCCTTCTTCGCAAGCTCCAGGGTTATGGCATTACGGGTCGATTGTTTGACCTAATACAATCATTCCTGTCAAACCGTGAATTGAAGGTCGTTCTCAACGGATTCTCCTCCAATTCCTATCCCACGAACTCAGGTGTTCCACAAGGCTCCATCATAGGGCCCACTCTATTCCTTACCTCTCGCCTGTGGAACTCCCTTCCCTATTCCAGTTTCCCTAAGAGCTATAATCTCCAATTATTCAAATGTAATGTCAATCGACATCTCCAGTTGCCTTGATCTATCCACTATCCTTCTCCTCATCCTTTCCTCTATCACTCCTATCTGATCTTGCTCCAAATCTTCTGTAACCTCTTGCGCCCTAGTGGCTTCTCGCCTTGCTTGGGGTGAAACGCTTAAAAAAAAAAAAGAAAAAAAAAAGAAAAATTTAAGAAAACGAAACTAAATTCTTCGCGCACGATGGGAAATGTTTTGGATATGCGGGTAGAATAACTGCTAGTTGCTCGGAAAGAGAAATTGGCGGGCCGAGTTCGAATCAAGGCTGAATTCGTTGCGATCACTTTCGCACAAATAGCCTTCTCTCCTTCAGTTCTGGGTTAAATAGCAGGGTAGACTAGAGTCTCAAGCTTTGAACTGCAACCCGTTTAATAAAAGGAGACTGATTTAATCAACACCGGTTAGTATGCTGATGGAAGCTCTTCAGCCTCGGTTTGAAATATATTGGTGAAAATTCCGCTAATTTTCGACGGTGACCGGTGTAGCTCTATCTCCCCAAAATAGCAAGGGCTCAAAGAATCACCAGGTAAGAATTGGTTGAGTTGCGAAAAAGATTCTCTTCGCGACGAAGCAAAATAATTTGAACCATTTCGTCTATTAATACTCCCCTCCCCCATTCAAGCCCAAAGTAGAATCACTTTTTAACGGGGCGGGAGAAAACAAAAAGATTCAGTCAAATATCCTTAGCAACCAGCAGCAGTGCTTTCACTCCTGTGGGGTTAGTTCATCGCTGATATGTTTTATTTTCCCCAATATCTAGAGCAGGGGTTTTCAAACTTTTTGACTTGCGGACCCCTTTATATTTGAGGCTTTACCTTAGGGACCCCCCTTATAAACACTTATGAACTTTATACATAAATATTTGCTGAATATAACATAGGCTTTTGCATTAATGCAAAATTATAACAGCCAATGAGAAAGCCGGAAATCACAAAATAGATCCAAAATTCAAATCCTTTGGTTCCTTCTCTGCATGAATAGAATCCATTATCTTTATCGATTTAAGATACAAATTATATTAGTATATAAAATCTATGAAATAGTTTATTGAATCAATTTATTTCATGATCGGCCTATAAGTTACTTATAAGCGCTTATAAGTTGCACGTCACCCATAGAAAAGTCTTTGCTGTCCACGGACTCCCTATCTTGTCCTTGCGGACCTCGAGTGGTCCACGGACCAGTTTGAAAACCCCTGGTCTAGAGATAATGACCCGAAAAGAAAAAAAAATCTCAAAGCGGCCTGGACAACTAATACGGATGTGTCACAGCACCAAAACGTACAACAATTTAAATTCTTAAGCGACGTGAGTCTAGGAATCTGCCGCTGGAGGATATATAATATTCTTTATTTTTTGAAGCGTTTCAACAATGGTGACAGCGACGTGTATGACAAGCCAAGTTAATCGCTTCTGTGACGTCTTTTTGTTTTGCTTTCAGTTCGTTTTATTTCGTTATAATTATCACTAAACTTGTCCGCTCTGTTTTTCTTAGTTCATTTTCAAACGATTCCGCTAATTTCTCCATTTTGTCATCAAACCTGACATTACACAAGCATTGTTCATTTTATATTTACACACGACCAAGAAGCGTTTCATTATGTCGGTATATAAGAGTTTCCAGCCAATCGTTATCAGTTGTTTTATTTCAGTTTTATGCTCTTTCTCTAATATTAGAGATTTTGTGGAGCGTGGAATCACCTCTTAATTGCTGTTGTTACTAGGTCCACTGTGACCCAGGGTGGTAGCACCTGTTAGGGTCCCAGCAATGGTAAAATAGTGTACCCCCAAACTGAGGTCAAAACACGAAAATATAAAAATATATTAGACAAAATTACCAGCAATACATTTATGGAAGAGAAAAGAAAATTAGCAAAGCCCACAAGAAAATAAAACTTCGGCATTAAATGACCCATAGGAAGTTGATATGCCGTTAAATAAACCAAACCTTTAAAATTATCAACCTAACTATACGTTTGAAGTATATAGAAAAGGTGATATCATTATGTCACTATTTGTATTAAATGCTTTTCAGCCAATCGTTATAAGTTATTTTATTTCTTTTTTATGGTCTTAATTTTTGTCGTCTTTTTTTTTGTTTTTAATGTAATTACATTTAATAATTTTTATTGTTATTACACGTAATAAATATTTTTATTGTTGAAATTCTTGCAGTTATTCCTCTTCTATTCTAATCATTCTTTTTTTCGAAATGTTACAATTACACAAGAATCTACCAATTGTATAATTGCTATCGTCTCGGAACGAACGAAGTGAGTTCGAATTCAGACAGGGTTCGTTACATGCAAATTCGTGCAAATACTTCTGGGAGAGTTATGAGTGCGTCTCTTGTCCCACAGCCGTGGTTTAAAAGGCGACCCAGACTAGGCTCTCTCGCTGTATTTGGCAACCAGCCTAGGAGAAAGAAAAAAAACTGAATCCAAAACCGTATGTCGTCTTGTCGAAGTACATACTATATAGCTTTTGTGATGTTAGACGGCTGCGCTGGTCGCTTTTGTTATGTCAAGCGAAATCTCGTTATGTCAAGCGAAATCTCGTTATCACTTTTAAAAATGCTCGTTATCTTCGAGACTTCGTAGACGCTGGTACTAATAGTAACGCCTTCCAATAATATCCGCCCTAGTAATACTTGTTCAAGTAGTAATCGCCAAATAGTATAATGGTCAGAAGAGAATCGTAATTAGTATAGTAGTAAGAGTAGAGAGAGTGAATGTATACCAATAGTGGATAGACAAGAAGCAGTGAACCGTGATCGTATATTCATCACGCTACTTCGTATTTATTCACTTCATTTATGATCACGTGATCCGCTTAATAATGGAATCGCCCGTGTTACTCACTGGCGATCTAGTTTCAAACCACAGTGTCGGCCACGGTACAACAATACCAATAGAAAAGTTGATGGATTTCATAATTAATTAAGGTCATTGAGATAGGTAGTTACAATTAAAAATGACTTTTGCTTTATTGTATTTATTATTAAACATTCCTATACTTATTCTTTAATCAATCAGATGATTCTGATATTAGTGTGCTGTCAGTAAATCGTAAGTTATTTAACTAGTCCCTGTTTAAAAAAACTATAGCGCCTTACTTGATGAATTTCATCTTAGAATCAAGAAACTGATTAAACAACTAGAAAGGATCAGTACAAAAATAAGTAAACACTATATGTCTATATGTCCTAGGTAAGACGTTAAACTGCATCCGACAGCAAGGCCTCTGATCTGGAAGTTTGGAGGCGCATGGAACCATTGCTGGTGTTCCCAGGTCTACCCTGACCCGTGGTAGTAGCACCTGTTAGGGTCCCAGCTACAGGCAGATAGTTACCTCCCCAATAAAAACAAAAACAAAACTGGGGTCAAAACACTATGAAAGTGTAAAAATAGGTTTTAATAACAATAATACATTTTTGGAAAAAAATTATAACCAGCAATAGATTTTTGAAAAAAAATATTACCAGCAATAAAAATTTTGTCGGCATTAAATAACCCATTGAGATTGATATGCCGTAAAACAAACCAAACCAAACCAATATATCTATATTTCTCAATTAAACATATTTAAATAAAGATATGATGCGCGCGCACACAAACACACACACACACACACACACATATATATATATATATATATATTGAAAATATTTTCAATTGAGCTCAGTTGAGTGGTAAGCTAATTCTATAAACAACAGCCACATGCGCTAATGCAGAGCTCTTCAGTAAAATGAATTGAGCACTTTGGCTGATTGGCATTTGTTTACATTCGTAAAAACATTACGCTAGATCCAGCTGTGTAACTCTGCCGAGTTAGCTCAGTGGTAGAAGCTCTGACTGATACCAAATCGGTTCGGGTTCGATCCTGGCTTGAGGCATTCGGATGTATAGTCACACTGATTTGGCTGTGATACTGCGAAACAGTACTGTCTGCGAATGACATATATCAATATAAAAAATGCATTGACAATTGTTTCAGTATAAACATCAATTGAAAATTGTTTTAATATAAAATCCAGTGAAAATTCTTTTAATATAAAGATGCATTCAAAATCCATTTACTACAAAAATCCAATGAAAATTGTTTTAATATAAAAATGCATTAAAATTGATTTACTATAAAAATCCAATGAAAAGTGTTTTAATATGCTAATAGATTGAAAACTGGTTTATTTTAATATTGCATTGAAAATTGCTTTACTATGAAAATGCATTGAAAATTGTTCTAACATAAAAAACACTCTGAAAATTGTTTTAAATAAAAAATGCACTGTAAATTTTTTGGACCTAAAAATGTACCGAAAATTCTTTTAATATAAAATATATTGAAAAAATTTTTGATATAGAAATGCCTTGAAAGTGGTTTTAATGTCCAAATCAATTGAAAATTGTTTTATGATAAAAATTTGTTGGAAAGTGTTTTAATATGAAAATTGATTTAATATAAAAATGCATTGAGATCTGTTTTACTGTAAAAATTCGTTGAAAATTGTTTTACAATAAAATGCATTGAAAATGTTTTAATATGAAAATGCGTTGAAAAATGTTTTAATATAAAAATATAGAGAAAATTCTTCGGATATAAAAATTCATTGAAAATTGTTTTAATATAGAATGTATTGAAAATTATTTAATTATAAAAATAAATTGAAAATTGTTCTAATATAAAAATGCATTGACAATTGTTTAATGTAAAAATACATTGAGAATTATTTTAACATAAAAATGCAATGATAACTGTTTTAATCTAAAAATGTAATGAAAATTCTTTTAATCTAAAAATGAATTCAAAATTGTTTTCCTATAAAATGTGTTGAAAAGTGTTTTAATATAAAAATGCATTAATTCTTTTTAGTATAAAAATGCATTGAAAATTGTTTTAATATGAAAATGCATTGAAAATATTTTTAATATAAAAAAAAACACTGAAAATAGTTTTACTATTAAAATGCATTGAAAATTGTTTTATATAAAAATGTATTGAAAATTGTTTTAATATCAAGATGCATTGAAAATTGATTTAATATAAAAATTTATTGAAAATGTTTTAATAAAAAAATGCATTGCAAATTCTTTTAATGTAAAAATTTATTAAAAATTGTTTCACTATAAAATGCATTAAATTTTTTTACTATAAAAATGCATTGACAATTGTCTTACTATACAAATACATTGAAAATCGTTTTAGAATAAAAATGCATTAATTTTTTTTTAATATAAAAATGCATTGAAAATTGTTTTTGAATAAAAATACATTTAAATTGTTTTAATACAAATTCATTGAAAAGGTTTTGAATATATAAAAATGTATTGAAAATTATTTTACTCTCAAAATGCATTGGCAATTGCTTTAATATAAAAATATATTGACAATTGATTTACTATACAAAAGCAATTAAAATTATTTTAACATAAAATTGCTTTGAAAAATTTTGAATATAAAAAATGATTGAAAATTGTTTTAATATAATAAATGCACTAAAAATTGTTTTCGATAAAAATGCCATGAACATTTTTTTTTTTGCTATAAAAAGTATTCAACATGTTTTTAAATAATCCTACACTAAAAATGA